TGCACAGAAAACACATAACCTAACAGTTTTTGGACCGTGGTAGGAAGTTGGAGTACCCAGAGAGAACTCATTCATTAAAGGGAATAACATGCAGATAAATATTAGATCTTAAATGGAAATAAATATCAGTATCTCATCTCCTGAAGAGCATAGGATTTCTTTTTTCTCTTGTTCTAGTATATAAATAGAGTATTCTTCTACTTTCTGGTTGTTTTATTGGTTTGTTGTACAGGTACATTATTGTGTTAAGTTAATGTATCCCCCTTAGCAGAATTGCAATCTCATTGCACCTCTAAAAAGCAATATTAAACCTGCATATGATGCATTTTATTTTTAGCCTGGATGTTTTTTGTTGTTTTTTCCCCCACCCGTTAACAGTAATCATTGTTGTAATACACATGATGCTTAAATGTTTTTCTGTAGCAGTTTATTTATCCTCGTCGACCAGAAGCGATAGGGTGGTTGTTTTCCCAACGTGAATTATCTGTGCTACCGATGCGTGGTGCAGTTACAATGACTCATTCTAAAAATTCAATACTGCTGCTTAAACACTGCCTGAGTATAATGGGGACAGGAATATTAAACACTGGCAAATTAAAACTATCCATAACGCTGATTAAAAGCAGCGCTCTGAAACACAGCCACACGCAGGTGCAGGGAGATATATGAGCAGCCAAAGAACAGCAGAGTTTCCTGTTATGTGCTGCTGACATCCTTGTTTTAAGCTAGCTGAATACACAAAGTACAAGCCATTAGAAGGACGAGTGTCAGGGGACCTACTTAGCTTCACATTCAAGGCGTAGTGTGCGTTCTTAATGGCCAGTTATTCACAAAGCTAAAGTTGTTTATTGTGTCAATGCCTCTTTTCTTTGGCTTTTGCCTGACGTGAGTGTTTCTATTCTGTCGTCTGCTGTGCATGCTGTGATTTACAGTTAAAAAGTGTTCTTCTGTCACACTGAAGCGCTTTAACCGCAAATCAAACACTGTTGGTTTATGGTTTTCTTTTGGTTTGCCTGGCTACGTCGGTGACTATTTGTTTAAATATGCAGAAGCTGTTAAAAAAAAAAAAAAAACCTCAAGCAGTTGGTTGAAAAATGAGCAAATAAATCCCTTGGTGTGTGTATGGCTCATCGGACCATACACACACCATCCTTGCCAGTTTTAGAAATGGTTTGTGTCCTTTTTGATTAATTTCTGCACCATAAAGCAGCGCAGACTGACTTGTTATTGCCGTATTAAAAACTTTGGCATGTTTAAGGATCATCAAACGTGGAAACAGTAGCTTGTTCTAAATTTTGTTAGTGATAAAGTTATCACACCAGCTCTTTTGTTTCTGTACTTTTAAATCACCTGAGATGGAAATAAAACATACTTAATGTTTTACAAGCATAAATGAAGGTTAACATAATCGCATTGTATTTTATTTCTATTTTATGTGACAGACCCCAACACAGATTACTGCATAGAAATCTGAAAAGTGTGGCATGCATTTGTTTTCTGCTCATTTTACTCTAATACGGCAATATAAAATCCGGTGTAAACATGTGGCTGTGTTCACAATGCAGGCAAATCCGTACAAAATCCAATTTTTTGTCTTCATGCGACTCAGATCCAACTTTTTCGGAACGGAACGGCTCAAATCGGAGCTTTTCACTCTAAAAAAGTTGATTTGTGCCTCTACCGATTATTATATGTAACCAAATCAGTTATGTATTATTTTTTGCTAATTTATTGAAGAATGACCATTGTGTTCTCTTTGACATCATAAAACTGAAATAGCATTAGCTAACTAACATGGCAAACTATCTTGTTACAT